AGGAAGGGATGCATGCATATCATAGCACAACTGATTCTTTATCCTGGGGTTTACAGGTTTCCCTCACTTTATGCTGTACATGTGTTCCTGGAAAATGGTGCATAACTTGAATTCACATAAAGGGAACCTACTTTACAATGTAACACACAGAGATATGTTCCAAGACCTTGACTGTACTGACCCCCAGACCCATTTCTACCACTTCTACAAGACAATTTTGGTACTTACCAACAGCAGACAGTACACACAAGTGCAGGGTGGTGGTGAACGTTACCATAATGGGGATGGCAGCTACACAAACCTGTGTCGCAGACAACAAGCGAAGAGCAGAGATCTATACAGGAGACTATTTTCGTGCGCATCACTCCCACAGTGCACCGTACAAAGCAGCTGACTGGGCTTCCACCACATGGAGCGCATAAGAGTGAATTTAACTTGCGTATAACAAATTTTCTGGTATAAAAGGGGTCATTGGATAACAGCGAATTCGCACATACAGAACCCGCATAAAGTGAGGGGAACCTGTACGGTTGAGGCACGTTTCAAGGCTGTAGCCAGTGTTTTCTTTTTCCCAAAAAATCTGTCAGAAGCAAAAAGTTAGCTTCAGTTTTAGCTCTGTTGGTGCTTAAAACTCCTAAGTAGGAGCAGAACGTAGAGCAGGTGTGTCCAACATTCTGCCTGTGGAGCCCCACCATCCAGCCCTGGTTCTGCCCCTGGCTTGGTGTGGCACGTGCCCATGGCATGGGGCCAGTCCACAGGCCAGATCAGGGCCATAAATTCCCCCTTCCCCACCCCAAGCATACCTGATCCAGTGGCTGCTCTAGCCCCTCTGGGATCCGTACCGCATGCAGCACAGATCCCAGAGTGTCTGAAATGGCTGCTGTCTGCAGTACAGTTCTCCTGGAGCAGCTATCCCATTGCACGTGGTTGCCACCCCAGCTGAACTGTGCCAAATAGTGCCTGTTCTGGGATGTGTGCTTCACGCGACGCTTACTTCAGTGGTTTGGGGACCTGCATTGCATGTGCTGCTCACAGATGCTACGTGCAGCGTGGGTCCCAGAGTGGCTGGAGCAGGTGCTACATGCGGTGCAATCCCAGAACTGCCAGAATGGATCATGTGTGTAGCACATTTCAGCCAGAGAGAACACTGCATACTGCATGGCTGCTGCACTGGCCAGGCTGCCCTGCATGTGGTACCTATTCTGGTATCTATGCAGCATACAACATATCTGATCCAGCTGGTCTGGGACCTATGCTGGGGGCAGGGCAGGGAGGTCCATGGGTCCTATCTGGACTGCAGAGTGGCTCCACACCACACTTCTTCCCTGCTGAGCCAGATGAGTTTGACACCTGTGATGTAGAGGTCTGATCCTTCTGTTTTGTAAGAACTGCATGTTTTTGTTTTTGTTTTGTTTTTTAATTAATAATATTTACAACCTCTTGTTTCATAGGTTTACCTTCTATGATGGTCCTCCATTTGCTACTGGGCTTCCACACTATGGCCACATTCTTGCTGGAACCATTAAAGACATAGTAACCAGATTTGCCCACCAGAGTGGCTTTCATGTTGACAGAAGATTTGGATGGGATTGCCATGGTTTACCTGTGGTATGTACAATAAATGATCCTGCATGTATTTCTGCTGCCTCAATTCTTAGATTCTAGATAGACATTGGTTTTTTTGTTTGTTTGTTTGTTTTGATTACCCTTCTTTCTCTTTAGTGTTGTGTTTCTTCAAGGGGCTCCCCTAAAATCTTGATGGGGACTTTCTGTGAAGTTGCTGGCTTAGAATTAAAAGGCCAGTGCCTAAATTTACTAGAGAGCTTGGGTACAAATTATAGTTCATACATTTTTTTTCTTGTTTTTATTGCTAGCACAGTGAGATGGGATAGGGAGTTTTACCTGTATTTCAAAATAGCTGTGTTGTTTCTGCATGAGTAGTTTGTACTTCCAGACTTGTCAGTTGATTGGGCTCTGTACCTATAATTGCTGGAACTTGATGGAAAATACGTAAGATTTTGCACTGGCACCGTAAGGTTTTTGTTTTTTTTGTTTTTAATTCCATTCTAGGAGTATGAAATTGACAAAGCACTTGGCATCAAAGGACCAGAGGATGTGGCCAAAATGGGGATTGCAGAGTATAACAGTCAGTGTAGGGGAATTGTGATGAGATACTCCAAAGAGTGGGAGGTAAGTAGTATGTTTATAGGTATTTTGTCCGAATGTCTAGAGTTGCATCTTACTAAGTTTAATTAAATTTCACTTCATTGGAATTTTTTTCCTATGCCTTGGAGAGTGGGAGAAGCAGAGAAAATGGAGCATTGACAGAAGAACTTTCCACACTCCCTGGCACATGACAGGACTGAGACGAAATGCTTCAACTATTGGAACTCCCTCCTCTCAAGGATATGGGACATGGGACCCTGGCATCTGAGCTTTAAATGGAGTCAAATGCATAGAATTACAGCATGGGGGTCCTAAACTGCAAATTACCACAAGCTCCAGGAGCAAACAGTGACCCTGAGCTGAGTAGAGCCATGGCTGACTGAGAGCATCAGGCCCAGCCCCCCCCTCTGGGCAGGGCTGGGGGTTTCCCGCCCTTTTTGCAAACAGCTCTTGCAGACTGGAACTCAGCCAGCCTGTAGAACTCTTTGCAAAAGGGGGAAATCTGCAGGTTTCTCTGCTAAAAGGGAAAATCCATGTTTTCTCTGATTTAAAAAAATGGGAAATCCATGGTTTTATCCATTTTTTTTCCGTGAGAAACAGAAAACCTAGATCCCTGGTCATGATAATGCAATGTTAAATCAGAATGTTAGGATATTCTCACAAGCCATACCCTCCCCTCCCTGCATCCCCCCTCACCCCACGCCGCTCTGCTGCCTTTCCCTCAGGAGCCCCACACTAGCCATGCATCCCCAGCTTACCCCGCAGCACTGGGATCCCAAGAGAAAGGCAGCAGAGTGGAAGCCGGGGGGAGCGGGGGGGGGGGGGGGTGCTTGGGGAGGCTGTAGCTACCCCAACATTCCTGTCCCTTTTAGCACCCCTATAGCCACCCCTCCCAGCACTGCTGCCACCTCCCACCCCATGCACCTGAGCTTGCCCTGCTCTTGCCTGCTCCCAGCCCAGCCCAGCCCCCCCACTTAGAAGAGCCTGGCACAGCCCTTGGCCCTGAGCCCGCAGTGGGCAGCCCGTCTCTGCTCCACGCATAAATTTGGGGGGGCATATGCCTCCCCTGGGGTGTGCACAATAGTATGGAGCTGCCCACCTTCCCACATCCCCTGGATGAGCCACCTGTGGCTCCATCCTACTCCTGGCCCCAGGGTCCCATTCACTGCCAGGGCTGGGCAGCCCCTGCCCCACTCCCTCCCTCACCATGGAAGCCTTGATTTTGCACCCCCACCTTGGATTTACCTGCAGCAGGGCACTGCTCTCCAAGCTGCCAGGCTGCATTTCTGTAAATCGGCTATTGGATCGGTATTGGCTGCCCGGACTGGTTAATAATCAGCTATCAGTATTGGCCAAGAACATCTTTATTGGTGCACCCCTATTCTTTAATGGTGCCTTTCGGTATCAAAGGCAGCCTCAAGATCAAGAGGGCTTGCCAAATTGTGATATATGGGTTAATGGAATTTTTAAAATGTGTCAGATTCCTCAGATACATAAGATGGGTTTTTTGGGGAGGACAATTGGTTGTTGGGGTGTTTTCTTCTGTTTTTAAACTCAAATAAAATATATCAGACCCAACATCTTGGATGCGTGTTATAGTTCATTTCTTTGTAGTAGATCTTAGCAAACAGATTTTAAGTTTTGAAGATTAATGACTTAATTGAAATTAAAATTTTTGAGAGAGAACATTAGTATATGTTCAACATATTCACATTAGTGAATGTTAGTATCCATGTATCTATTTGATTTAATATATGTGAGACTTTTAACAGTAACTAAGTTTGGGTTTTTTTTTGCAGTGGCACAAAAAGGGAGCACAAGATGGACAATATGAATTACTTTTAAAATTATCTCTAAGCTTTTGCTGTTACTACAGATATTTAGGGTGGTGGTAGCTCTTAGTTCCTGCATACATCCATTTTAACCTGTGTCTTCTGTAGAAAAGTTGGAATAAAGTACCAGCTGTACTTAGTTTACCAGTACAGGCTCCTGCAGTTGGAGTGTAACAGCTGCTGCTCAGTCTGGAGCAGCAGTTTACCCCAACTGTCACCTTTGAAACCACTCCAAGTGAATATTTGTTAATGTCCTAGGCCAGGGGTGGCCAGCCTATAAACTGCATTTGACATAGGCAGCCTCTGGGAGTGGCATGGCAGAGCAGGGTACACAGCAGCAGGCAAGGCAGGAAGCAGAAAACAGAGCAGCAGATTGGGTATGGAGCACAAGATGGGGTATGTTTTACATGCGCTATTACTGTGCATGAATAAACTCTGGAGCGGAGGGCCGCTTACCCTGTTTTAGCAGGCTGTCGAGGGCCGCATGGGTAGCTCTGCCCCTTGACAGGTGCCCTGCCCCGTGGTCACCATGTGGGACCAACTTCCCAATGTCTTGGGACCAATGTCCCAGGGCCAGCACCAGTGGGGCCCAGAGCGGGGCACAGGCTGGCAGGGGTCTGTGGAGCTGGGCTGGGCTGCACCAGCAGGGAGGAGAGAGCTGGCTCGGCTCCATAGAGCCTCTGCCAGCTGGGACCCCGTGCTCCTGCCACCTTGCTCTGGGCCCCACCAGCACTGGCCCTGGGCCCTGTGCTCCCACTGGCTCCCCGCCCGCTCACACCCAGTGCCCCCCAGCCCTGTACAGGCAGGGGGCAGTGCACAGCTGGTAGTATTCACAAGTACTATTCTGCTGCAGAGCAAATTAGTTTAGTTTACTCCAGCCTAATAGGGATGCATGTGTAGATGCTGAGACATTTATTGCACAGCTAATTAGTCAACTGTGCAGTAAACATCTCATATAGAGGCAGCCAGGGAGAAGCAGAAAGAGCAGCATATTGTGGAGGGGAATGGGAGTGAAGTGGCACTCTGGGCATTTCTTACCTTGTGACCTGCCTGCCAAAAACGTTGGCCCCCCTGACTCTAGCCTTCTAATTCCAATATCTGTTTTAGGGTCAGAGTGTGGAGAGTACCTTAGTTTTTCTTGAGTACCCGAGAGTCAGTCCTGTAACTTGTTTGAGCGGTAACTCTCGATCCTGGCTGCATCAGGAGCTACATGGGCACTCATTGTTAACCAAAGAGCCGTCACAAAAAGCTCCCAAGGGAATTGTGGCAAACACTAATGCAAAAGAAAAAAAAATTACAGTACTTGTCCCACAACTGCATGGGTCTTGCATTGTCCATACTTACAGGAAAGATGCATGTAATGCACACAGTAAAAGAAATAAAAACCTCTTAGGTAGTGGTTTCTATAATGAGCTGCAGGAGATAAGTGGAAGAATTAGTTGCTTGTAGCCTGGAAGTTAGGTTTTGAATATTTATAGGTTAGAACTTAATTTCCTATTGGGCTAGTAGTAGTGGTGGCAGTGACAGTCTATGCAGTCCTGTCTGGGTGAGAGGAGTGTTTTAGGTAATCAGGAAGTCATTTTGGTGGTTTCCTCTGCTTTGTGAATAGTGCTTTTGTTGCATGGAGCACCTGGCTCAATCTTGGATCTCCTTTCCTTGTTTTGGAGGATGTTTTATCCATCTTCTAACTTACTGCATTCTTGCCTGGGAAGGCGCAGGCATGAATCGGGTTTCATTTGTTTTGTTTGTCCTGTATTGTGTTTTTTAGCATCCTACCTTATCTGCCTTTCAAAGCTTTCTTTAATGTTGTATCTGGGGCAGAAGCCATTGATTTAAATTGTGCAAATTGCTAAATGAGCAGAACCGAGCTTATCTTTTCAAAGATGAAAATTATTGATTTTATTTCCTAGATTGTTATTTCTCAAATAAAATGTGTAACTTTGGTTCCCCTTTTTAATAAACTGAATTGTATCCTTTTCGATAACATTTTGCTTTCTGCCTCTCACCTCAGTTTTGATTCTCATAGACTTTTAGCGGCTGGCATTGCAGTGCATTAGTTTGTGTTTGGTCCTGAGATTTAATCTTTCAGATGGCAAAAAAAAATGTTTTGTATTAATGCTGTTTATAGCAATAGTCAATAAACCTAAAGTGGACGTCAATTAAGTAAATCTGTGTAGAGAACATAATAATCAGTAGGATGTGGTCTGTCTGTCTTCTGGCAAATAGTAAAACTGATTATTCATATTGTCATTAGAATGTAGGAATTCTTTGCATTTTTATGGACCACATTTGTTGGAGAATTGATTTTTTGGGGGGCCTTTTTCTTCTGTTTTTTAAACCCAAACAAATATATCAGACCCAACATCTTGGATGCATGTGATGGTCAGTCCCATTGTAATAGATCTTAGCAAACAGATTGCCAAAGCAAAAAATATGAAAAGCCAAACCTTTAAAAGATTTGACAACCACATTACTGCTGCTAAAGTAAAGTTTGAGGTGAATCCTGAATCCCCTGGGTTGAGCAGAGTTGTGACTCTGGTTTCTCTTCAAGTCACATACATCTTTCTTCCTTCCTGCAGGTACTCTAGCATACCCTGTCACTGTCTTGTTGCACAAAGGGGATATTTTTATACTGCATGGCTTTGGATTTAAGGAAAGGCCTTAATTCATGACCTTTCTTTTGTGTACTCCATGCTAGATCAAGTACTTTACCCTGAACCATTGTCAGGCTTAAATATTTTGTGGGCCTGGTACACTGATGGGGGTAGAACATGTGTCTTTTAAACAAGTTGTTAAAGTAATAGATATTGGAAATGTAGTGTGATCATTGTTTTAAGTTGTTTTTCAAGTTGTATGTTCATATTTTAACAGTTCAATGTTACCAGACTGGGACGCTGGATTGATTTTGAGAATGACTATAAAACTCTGTATCCAGAATTCATGGAATCTGTATGGTAAGTTCCTTTAGCTCACTAAGCTCTTTAAGTGTGTGTGTATATATATATATATATATATGTGTGTGTGTGTGTGTGTGTGTGTATGTATGTTTGAAATTTGCTTTGGTCATTGTAATTGTATGGTGAGCCATATTCCTTTCTGAGAGGAACATGTTTACCATATTTCTCGGAGATTTTATTTTCTATTTCTAATTTACTAATTGCCAGTGACCAGAAATGTGTAGAATAGGCTAATTTAAATATTTTGTCCCTTCATTTAACAAAGTAGCTTAGATTTATTGTAAATCTGTCAAGGAAGAGACTTAATAACTAGCCTTCATAGTTTCATAGTAGCTAGGGTCAGGAGGGACCTGAACAGATCATCTAGCCTGACCCCCTGCCACAGGCAGGGATGAAAGGCGGGG